AGATGGGGGTCTGATACAAATTAGCCACTGGGAAAAAAGTCATCTGGTCATAAAATACAGTACAGGGTCACTTTTATGTAAGTTTGCCAAAAGGGACATAAACCAGGACAATTTCAAACTGTGACACAGGATAGAAGTATATTAAAAAAATCTTTGTTCCTCCTCCATTGTGCTGTCATGTTGCTCAGCTTTATAGACGTTCTGAGCACCAGCTCTGGCCTCTTCGCTTCCACCTGGCCTACCTAATTAATTAAGCAAGGAAGTTACCTCAAATTTTTGTACTATTTGTTTTTATTATCATGCACTTCTTTTGATGTTCCAGGAGTTAACCTCTTAATCCACAGACTCTGTGTGTTGTGTTCTGAACATTTTGGGATGTCTGGATAATTTGGGTAATTGGTCAGGATGTTGCTGTCGCTCATGTTAAACTTTATGCTATGAGTACAAGTTCAAAGATCAGTATTAAGGTAATATACTTCATAAAGCCTTTTTAAAACTACACTTGTGATTATGCAATACCTAGTTTTTCCAGTTTCTCACAGTAGTAAATTGCACTATTTGTATTTTCTTAAAAGGAAATTACTCCAAAACATCCTTCTCTTTGTCAACTTCAAATAAATACAAATTTCCATTGAAGTTACATCAAGAGAAAGGTCATATTTTAAAGGTCAAGAAAAGGTATGGCAATTATCTCCTCAAAAATGTTTGCCTCCTTCACACAGCAGCACACATGTAATTTTCTGTTGCAGTCTGTTACCACACATGGAAACATCAGCACTGTGACCTACTCAACTGAAAATAGCACAATTTTTCTTTTTTGGAGGGAATGATAAAGAATGAGGTTAATTCTGACATTAAGAAACACTGTTGACAACTTTGGTTCGTAACTACAATCTGAGCATATCAGTGACAAAGAACTAAAAGATTACCTAAACAGGAAGCATAACTTAATGCACAGTCTCTACAAAAGAAGACAAGAAGAACAGAGAAAGATGTAAAAGAGTTTTTAATACTGATGCAAGAGATTTAAGTGATTTCAGGTACACCAACAGCTCAGTTAACAGCACTGGCTAAGCTGCAATGTATTATGATTCAAAGTCTTGAAAAATCCAATCCACATGTGCACACAAAAATGTGTGTGCATGCATTCACACATGGCAGATACACAGAGACATACATATCTATACATATGTATATTATACACCTCCAGTATTGGCTGGATTACTATTATTATTGTTATTATTATTATTATCCTGGCATCAGAATTGTTGAAATGCCATTCAATGGAAAAGAACATGAGCAAAGAACAGCATTTAAGCTCTTTAGAAGGGCATGGCCAGCCCCCTCAGGCCCCAAATGCCCTTTCTGAGTTCCCACAGTGGATTTCATGAACAACCAGCAGAGAATCAGTCTGAGCTCCAGTGCAGCACTGCATCCATCCGTGGCCATCACTCATTTCCCTATTTCTCTCTTCTGCACAATATGCAAGGCCTTGGTTGTTTTAAACTGCTGCCCTGGGGAAGCCAAGTGAGCCTCTAAAAGAGGCCATGAGCCATTTAGCAAGTACACCAGCAGCCAGGGAAAATGGCAAAATGGCCATGGGAAATTGGAAGATGGTTAATCAAGCCCATTCTGATTCAGAACAGTTAAAGGAGCAATGCTATCACTCAGGAACATGGAATGAAAAGTTATACAAAGCTCACAACAGTAACTTATGAGCTATCTGAAATATCAGAGCTTGCAAAAAAAAAAAAATCACATTATAATCAATACACAAAATCAACTTTCATAGCACTGTCTGTGATAAACAAACAGATTGCTAAAACCTTCAGGAGTCAGACCCACATGTGATAATGACTAAAATTACTGTTGCTATTTAATCTGAGCAAAGACATCCATTAAAAAATGAAAAAATCTTTTCAATTTCAGGAATGAACCTCTTGTAATTACACACTTTCAAAACTTTTATGGAAGTCCAACAAGTAATTGACATATTAAGACCTTCAAATAGACATCTTCAGTGCACATACCTATATCCCAAGTGACCTATTTAATCATCATGATGAAGGCAATTCAATGACAAAATGATCTGCATAAAAGCTTCCACTGGAACAGTCTTTTTATCCAAACTTTTATCTGAACTGAGTATCTAGAACCAACTGCTTTCCCAACTCCCAACCAAAAGAGTAAAGATCTATGCCAAACCTCTTTACTGAATGTCTTCACATTTACAGTAGATCATTCTTCTCTCAAATGCTGTAAGTTTTGCCAAATGTATGAAATGTTCTTTCAAATTGAGATCACTAAAATCTGATTTTTCCAGTGAACAGTAATAGCATTTGAACAATGTTTTATCTCTCTGGTCCATTACTTTGATGTGGTGAATGACAAAATAAGACTTTTTTGAAAATGTACACAAAATAATTTGTTCAAGTAGCAAAATTCTACAAAGTAATCACGGTCTCCAAATCTTCCTGGAAAAGAGGTAAGAAACATGCCAAAAATCTCCTGAAAGTAAAACTTGATGGGAAATATCCTTCCTTCACAGATGCTACAACTAAAAACTTTACATGTAATCATGAATTAGATTAATCATGAATTGTCCCAGATTCTAATCACCCAATTATGTGATGTAATTTTTTAAAACATAGCTAGCAATTATTACAAGTAGAATCCTTTATCTACATCAGCATCTGAAAAGAGCAGCAGATTTAATTTTAACTATCACCTTAGTCCAGAAGTGCCATCTGCCACTTACTTTCCAAGAAAAGCAACCAAAGACAAGCTATGCTCATACTACAACATCCAACCATGCCTGAATCTTGACCAGCAGCTTCAAGGCTCACTCCAAACAGGCAAAAAAATTTCATCCATTCTGGATAATTTTAAACACAGCAGTGAGATAGAACAGACATTACATAAAGGCCTGGAGTATTTGTAGCAGGAATCACACTTGGCTTCTGGGATGTTCCAAAAACATCCAGAACTCTAAGTTTAAAAAAAAAAAAAAAAGGACATTCCAAAAGGAATTTCCTCCCCTCCAATAGGTGGATTTTGATACAAAAATCTGATCTCATCTACCCCCATGAAGAAGCAAGCTTCAAAGTACCAAAAATCATTATGGTTCTATCTAACTCATCTCATCTCACAAATGCTCTCAAGCATAAATGTGCAGTGGTGATCTGATTGATCTTGAATGGGATTTATTGATAGCCACTACCATAAGAAAGTAACACATTAACTATGAAAAGTTTCATATAAAGTGCAAATTTTATGTAGCTGGGATACACAAAGCATGTGTTGGAGCCAACAGAGCTCTATCAGCAGCAGGACCTTAGCAGTATGCTAATGGAGAGAATCCTTGGTTTTGTTGGATGGCAGGAAACACAAACCCCACAGAAATCAGTTAATATTTTTTAAGATAAATATTAGCTGTGGCTAGATACTTAAGTGTCAAAAGGAAAACGGAGTGGCCTCCACATGAAGACTGCAAAGACAGAGCGGCTAAAACCTCTCAGCTGTAGATACCTGAAGTGAATGAAGAAGAACAGAAAGTGTTTTCCAGCCAAGATGGATGAGTTGAACACAGGAGCCCATCACCAACTCCTTGGAAGCTGAATGCATTAGTTTGGTCACCCAAACTCACAAGTGAAGTGACCTGGCCACTTCTGCAGTTTGGGCAATGCACAGCAAAGCTGCAGCAGCATCAGCTCAGCCCAGGTGACAGCAGAACACATTTACACACCACCTGGGCCAGCCCTACAGGTGTTTTCTAACAAAGCTGCATGGCTGTAATCCACCAGTGCCTTCTGCTGTGGAATAAAGTCTCTTTCTCCACATTATTCTCTGTGAATTAAAATATTCCCTCACACAGTAGTTCCTAAGTTGTTTTTCGTTTGTTTTGCTGTCCTCTTGTTTTTTTCTCAAGTGAGCCCAAAAATCCCAACGTGAAAGCAGCATTTCAGTTGAGTTTTCCCTAATCCCACCAAGAACCAAAATGGTAACTTCACTGCCTTCATGCCAGTTCCTGTCACTGCAACCAGGAATGATGTTTTCCTTCCAAACACAATTATCCCCTTGTGCCTTTACATTCCATGCCGTGCTTCAGTGACTCATAGTCTTTTGCATCCATCTTTAATTCACTTTATTCTGCAGATTTCAAGATCACTTTCCAAGCCCCTTTGCTTTGTGACAATTGTCGTCCAAAGGGAGCAGAATTCCCTCAAGTGCAGTATCATTAAAAACAAAAGAGTAATCATGTGGATGATAAAGCTTAATGGAAAAGTGCTACAACTGGTCCCCAGACAGTCATTCCAGTTTAATCTATTGGATATTTATGATTTGAAATTAATTTTGATGTGTGTCCCATTATAGTAATTTTTCACTGTATTTCTTTAGTTCATGTATTATTACAATCATTATCACCTTATTGTTCAAAAACTGCTTTGCCAAGTTCCCTGCTTCACTGAAATACTCAGCCCTCTCAACCTGAATATATTCAACTAAGTTGAATATTTTAAGACATTTTTTAACATATCACTTTTAATATTGACCATATTTGAACCTTTTTTGGGATGTCTGTAACCTTTAAAATTCACAAATCAAGCTTGCATTCTCAGGGTCATCTGTTATTTAACCACCCTCCCCATTAGCAATAAACCTGTCCTTTTTCTTATTATTTTATTTCTAGTGCATTTCTTGAACTTTCTCTCCTCTTAACATCACAACAGAATCCAAAAAATAAAACCTTGATTGAATCATTTAATTTAAAAAAGAAAAAAAATAATTTTATTTATTTTAGTACACATGGCTTTTAAGAAGTCTTTTTTCTCCCTTTGTACCTGGCCTGTGCCAGAATGTGCAGTTGTATTTAACCTTCAATAAGCACACACATGCCAGCACCAAGTCGTCCTCAATCAGTAATTTCAGTTTTATCAGAAACAAGGGCTGAAAATTAAGTGTACACTGCAATTACTCTGTATTTAATAGTGTTTTCCTACCTTTTTTAAGCCAGCAAATCCTTCTGATTCCAGGAAGAAAAATGCAAAGGGCATCAACACAAATAAACATAGATTTGAAAAAAGAGAGGCAAGATTCCACAAACCTGCAACAGACAAGAAGTTTACATTGTAAGTTTCACAGTTAAATATATTACACCTTCCTCCTTCACATACAACAATGTAATATAAGTGACAGGGGGTTATGGATATAGATATTTAAAGGTCACTGCTGAAAAATATCCATTTCTCTGCATAATGATCTTCCAACAAAACCTAGACACATCTTACCTTTCAATAACAATGTCTGAAACCTTGGGAGACAGTCTGCAAGCTCAGATGTACCACTTCCACAATCTCACTGAAGGCTCTTTAGAGAACCACTGCAGAAGTTCTCAGGACAAAAGTATTTTACTACTCTCAGTGAATTTCACAAAATCCAGCTCTGTATACTCCTTTTCTCCCATATTTCTCCAAGCAAACCATGGATTTCAACATGAGCAATACATAAATGCCATCATCATCCCCAAATGAGAAGACATCATGGTAACAGCAGCCTTCCACAATGGGATGACTGGCTCAGTAGGCAAAAGAAGAGCAGCAGATCTTATCTCAATTTGATAAGGCTTTCAACATCACCTCCCATGAACCCCCCTCACAGCTTAATTAATGAGGTAGGGCAAGGTAAGGGGACTCTGAGGTGGACTGAACAGTGGCTGAGCTTCTGGGCTCCCAGGGCTGTGGCAGAGTGGAATGGACACCCTGGGGAGCTGCTGGTGGGTCAAACACCATCAGGAACCTGGGTGATGGCACACCCCAGCAAACCTGCTCAAGAGACAAAATGGGGAGCAGTGTCCTGCAGCTCTGATGAACCTCAACAGGCAGGACAAAAGGACAGGGAGCAGAGAAGAGATGGCTTTGGGAGATTTTATCCATGTACATAAATATCTGATGAGGGAGGAAGAAGGGAAAGCAGAGTCAGATCTTCACAGTGGTAGCCAATGAACTGAGGAGAGGCAATGAGCATGAATTGAAAAACTGGAAAATTCACTTACTCATAAAAGGAAAGAAAAAACCCAAACAAACTAAAAATCCCAAATATTTTCCACTGCCACTGTACTTAAGCAATGTAACAAACTGCCCACAGGTTTTGTCATCTCCATCCTTCAACATACTCAAAGCTAAAAGTGGAGGGCCTTGAGCAGCTTCTCTGACTGACCCTGCCTGGAGCAGGTTATTTCCAGAGGTCTTTCTGGCCTCAACCATTCTGTGATTTATGTGAAAAATCAACAACTGACTACAACAAGGACATCTGTAACACACATGTGACATCTGCAGGAAGAGAAAGGGTTTAGAAAACAAGCTGAAGTGATAACTAATCTCTGTTAGGCTATCTGCTCCATTAAGATTTTCTAAGCTGAACACTTTCTAAACAGCCAGTTTCTGGTGCCTAAACATGAATCCATCCTCAATCATCCCATCAGAAGTTATGCAGGATGCAGTGTTTCTTTTTTATAAAAGCAGAAGTTTATCTGTCATTTAGTAGCTAACAGGTCTAACCACTGTCACATGTGCTGAATCCTAAAAAAAAAAAGTCTGTAGAAAAAAACAGGTTTCCTTCCCCAAACCACACAAGCTTCCATAATTCTGCAGGACTGCATTGTATAACCTGAGTATCACTCAAAAAATAATATTCCCCCATAATAAATTTGAACTAACAGCCTTGTTTGTTTACTTCTTCCCATGTACACGCTTGTTCCTTTTCCTCTTTGAAACTGGACATTTTGTAAATAATAGGAAAGGAAAAAGACATTTACTGGATGTCCAGAGTATTCATTATCAAGAGAACTTTCTTAATTAGATCCAAGTGTAAAAAACTTAGCAGTGATTTTTGCCTGTACCCTCTTGAAAAAATGCTTCTACCATAAACTTCCTTTTTACTTAAATGACAGCATTTAAATGTGAAGGAGAAATAAAAGGTGGAGGGGAACAGGGGGCCAAGTGAACTTCAGCAATTGACAGCAGTGGGACACCAGCAACCAAACTCAGCCAAACAGGCTACAGAAAACAAAACAAGAAAATTCCAAAAGATGCGTGAAATATAACACTCATTTGCTAAAGAAAACAGAGTGCCTAAAGGTGGCTAAACTCCAGTTAACAAAGAGGGGGATTTTTCCTTTTCAATTTGCTTTGCCAGGAAGCTCCTGTTACCATTCGAGAAACATTCAGGCATGGCAACATCAGCAGGAATGTCATTAACAGCCCTTACAAGGGGACATTAACTCCAGCAGTCTGCACTTTTTTTTCTTTCCCCCCTAAAAAAGACACCAGAGGAAGAGCAGAAATACAACTTGATGGGGGTAGGAGTCTTATTTCAGCAGTTTCCTCTCACTGAAGACAGAGTGCATTCAGTTACCTAATGCAAAGCTGAATACCTGCTTTTCCTAATTTCAGCAGCTCTATTACATGAGAATCTTACAACAGAAAACAGTGATTAGGAACTGCAGAGAACATTAAGGATTTGACAGGAGGGGAGACTGGTGCACATCCAGGGTAATTTTTAAAAAGTTAAAATCCAGAAATTTACATATTAGTAGTATATAGGAAATACATTTACAGAATATTAAACTAAAGAGCTACAATATGCACATACAGTTAGGAAAGAAGAGCAGTGCTGTTCTGCTGCTGACAGACATGTGCACCTTCCTCAAAGTAAGGATCTTCTCTATTTCTTATTGAATTTGATAGTTCAGAAATCAAATTAAAATAGACACAGAAAAATAATTATTTTCTATTATACAGACTGCATCATAAAATTGCATAAGACACTTGACATCAACATACAGAAAAGCTTTAAGCAGTCAATTAGAATTTTTTCATTTGCATTTGTAGTGACCTAAGACTGTCCCTCATAAAACAAGTTCATAAAACATAAAAATTAACAATTTCTCAGTCTTTCACAAACAGATTAGACCCTAAGCAACTTTCCATTTTTCTTATTCATGGCAGTTTCATTACGTTTTACCCCCACCTGGTGGCTGTACCCAAAAGCAGCACAAGGGAACACCGCTGTCAGAACTCATCCTGGATTAGTTCAGCATGTATTAATTAGCTAAGTGTGTTTATACTGGATCCAGGTTTGGCCTTTCTGCCTAGCTTCAAAACTTTCAGGCATGTATTTTCTGCTGGTTTATTTGCCAGATGGAATGTAACAATCTACGGAATTAAACTCCCGGTGTCAGCTTCAAGTACATCAGATGATAGGTGTAAAAGAAATTTAGAAAAATAAAGTGTTTTAATGCAACAAAAGCGCTCCGATTTGACAAGATTTTCACGGCAGTACACACACCATAGGTGAAGGCTGTGCAGCAGAGTTTGAGGGGGCTGTGCGCGTTTCTGAGCTCAGGTGCCGCTGCCGGATCCCTCAGAGCCGCGCAGGTTTCCCACCGGAGCCCCGAGCGCGGCGATCCCGGCCACGGCCACGAGGGGGAGCCCGAGCCCGGCAAACGGCCCCGAGCCGAGCCCGCCCAAAGCTCACGGAGCCCGCCGCACCTTGCCCTCCGCAATGCGCACCTGGAAACGCCAAAATCCTCAACTTCCCTCCCTGTGAGCCACTGCTAACAAGTGATAGAATTTCTATTTGGTAGAACTTCTATTTTACCAAAAAAAATTATACTGTGTGTCCATGAAGCGGTATTTTCAAACATCAGCACACTAAGAGATGGTCACTGCAAGCAAATTCAAAGGCTTTCCTATCCCCGATTTCTCACTGACCCAAATTTTCTGAAGTAACAAGTGACAGCAAAAATTTCTTAAATGGTTACTACATAATTTTCAGTCTCTGACGGATTTTACTGCCCTTTTCCCAGAGATGATTCAGACACAGAAGGAAGGATTGTCTTCTGATAATTTTTTCCTCATGTTTGGGAATAAAGAATATAAATGTCTGAGCAAGTAAATCCATGTAACAACAGTTATTTAGCTTGGGTTTTTTCTCCCATGTAGGAGACATACCAAATTAGCAATTCTCCATGCCATGTCACAAAACACATCATAAAATAACTCAACTAGAAAGAGCCTGCGAAGTCACCTAGCCTGACCTGCCCTTAAAGAGCCCAACTGCAGCTGCCATCAGCTGCTCAGGGCTTTGGCCACCTGACTTTTGGAAAACTTACAGGATCTCCCAGTGCCTTTTTCACTGTTCAACCATCCCTGCTGTGAAGAATTATTCCATTATGTCCTACAATCACTTCTCACTTCGCAAAAAAACCAAACAAAACTAAAATCCAAACTAAAAAAGAAAAGATCCTTGCAAGTCAGGGATCTGGAAATTCATTAATTTGCTATGTGTGAATATTATTAGACATTTTGCAAAAAGCATGCACTTTTCAGAGAAAATTCCTCCAAAGCCAAATTGCTCTCTTCACACAACTAAAGAGAACTCCACAGTTAATCTGTGAATTATTTGTACCAGATTAAATATTTTCATACAGTGAACATACTTTCTGCAGAAATAACTAGAAAAGAATGTCCTGTTTTCCCCAGTTATTTCATTGCACATCTTTATGACAATACTTATATTACACAATTTTCCTTGTTTGCACATAAATCACCAACAGCTGAATTTAACTACCTCGTCTGAGCTGACAACAGCTAGCAAGTTTCTTAAAACATTTTTTAATTTTGAGAATAAATTTATAGATATCACCATAAAGAGAAAGGCACAATCTTGCATTAACATAAAGAAGTGTGAACAGCATGTTTCAAGTTAGCTTCTAGTAGCTCTTATTTACATTAATATTCAAAGCAGTGAATTTAGTTTAATTCCATCAAGCCTGCATAATTCTTTAAAACAGAACAGTTAAGACAGACTTTTGTGATATACCACACAGCAGCAAAACCAACTAGCCAACAGCACATTAACAATTAGCATATTAAATGAAAATGAGTTATCAGTTTAAAAATAAGAACATATCTGTGCACGTATAATGAAGACATTTTAATTGAATTATGCTGAGTACTAACCATGAATTAGTGAGCCATTTAACCACTGAATATAGTAGTTTTGTGGAAAAGAAAGCAGGATCTCATTGCTGATTATTGAGAAAGGTAGAAGCAGGACTGCACCAGCTGAAACTGCTAGAGTGAAGGTGCTCAAGAACAGCCTGAAATTTAAAGAAATGTACCACTGTTACCACCAACAAGCTCTGAACAGCAGGAAAAAAGTAATTAAACTACCTGGTAATCAGTGTCTAAAGGCAATACATTCTTATATTGTAAATGGGCAGGAGAAACTGGGATTTCCAAAACATTTGACTTTCAAAAAGCAAATTTAAAATACTTAACAGAACTCAACATAAATAATTTTTTTTACCAACTACTGTGATTACTCTCTTGGCACATGCATGCACTCAATTCCATTATAATACAAAGGTTAAACTACTGGACTTCATTTAATATTTTTTCACAAGTCTCCTCTGTCAGTTTTAATTTCCCACATAGACACATACACAAAAAAATATTCAGTTTCTACATTCTTAGCACGATTTTTAAAAGCAGAGCAACGTTCTAACAACTAAAGCATGAGTACAATCATAAATAAATATTTGAACACCAAACTAAAAAAAGTTGGGTTTTTTCACAAGGGAGTTATTCAACTTCTCATCTCATAGATGTAAACTCAACATACAGAAATTGTCAGAAATCTTTCAATATTCAGGCTTACGCTTTTCAGATCCCAACTACAACTTACACCAAATGCCATCTTCTGGCATTAAAAAGAACTGTGTCCTTAAAAAAAATAGGATCAACAAAACTGTCTTACAGAACTAATGCAATGCTATAATAAAACTAGAAATAATTCTCAGTGCAAAATTGCATGACAAAACAAATAGAACATTCCTACAACAGTAGCATCAGTAAGCTTACTTTTCCTTAATAGTCTACAAATCCATTTTTCATTCATAATATACTTAGAAAGTATGAGTAAGTAATTTTAACTTTAAAAATATTCTTATGTTATTGTTGTTGCTGGCTTCTGAGATTTTTTCTTTTATTTAAGGATGTTTAAGCATTTTAAGCCAGAACTGGGAAACCTAACAAACTACAGCAAAGTGCTCCAGCCCTTGGCATTTGTTTTCTCATCCCTCCACACTCAAATCCTGACAACTATGCCACATGAAGAAAAATCTATTTACATATGTTTGAGAATTATTGTTTTTAGAAAAAAAAAAAGACATTTAAAGAAGCTTAGGCTGAAAGAAAAAAGAACATTTTCTATTTACAACAACACTTTTCTCCAAGCTCTCCAAGCCCATCCTTCCAAGGGGATGCCAGCAGCACCAGGGAAGCCAAGAACACTGGAACACAGAAGGAGCCAATTCACACAGCTCAGCCAACTGAGAGGGCAGCAACAGCCAGGGCAGCTCTGCACAGCCTGAGGCATTCTCAAACAGGAGATATTCATATCTAACTTCACACAGCAAGAGGATAAGGAGAGAGCTGCTGGCAGACCAGTAGGTCTGGCAAGTGCTGGCCTGCCACTTGTAACCTTTCTGCAGCTTTTTTACACTGATCAAAGACACCACCTTCAGAGAGAGCTAATTTTCTTCACAGGATCCATTGCCTCCCTTCCATCGACTGCTGCAGCCACTTAAAACACCTCCCCATCAAAACACCTACGTTTGGAGACCTAAATGCAGGCCTGGCACTCAATTCCATCTCTTGCACCAGGTCCTCATGCAATGTTCTGGCCAACTTCATACCTGCCAGCAGAACTACAGGTGAAAAAAGGCCTAGACCAAACTTTCACAACACTTTTCGTAACTCAAGGTGCCACTATGCCAAATCTTTTTCCCTGAACCTCTAGCAATCTATTTAAGATAAACAAGAATCTATTTGAAATATTTAAATGTATTTGGAAGCACAGAAGATTCCTCTCATAACACATTCAGGAAAAGCAGCTGTGCCAAGAAGAGCTGTACATACGATATTCTGTTAACGATGGCATCTTCATCCTCTTGCTCATCTGAAAATTAAATGACATCAGGTTATATTCAATACTCACTTTCTTCAGGCTAAAGTGTATATAGATAGGAACAAATTTAATTTACAATTCAAATTCAGATGTACTGATACAATTCATGAGCATCAATATTTTAAGAAGGTTCCTTCCTAAAATGAATACTCTCACCCTGTTTTTTCACTAGTCAAACTCTTTTCAATGTAACAAAGTTATTTACTTAAATATGCAGATCAAAACTTCTTGGAGACCTCTTCCAGAGGGCTCAATGGCAAACATGCTTTCAGACTGCTACAGCCACAGCTTCTGCTAGAAACTGCCCCTTTGGGCATCTCTGGAACCACAGAGAGCAGGCAAGCTGCAGGGAAGTCCAAGAGTCCATGTAAGTCAGCATACTGCTAGAAATCATGTGCAGTATAAGTGTCTTTTAAAAACAAGAAAGCATACCCAGAACAACAGTGATGACTACTCAGTTGCTTCCCTTTACTTACCCCTCTTCCCAGCTCCTGGGATTTGGGGATGAGGAGGAAGGAGAGGTGGTTATATTCTTGTTATTTGTTTTGGATTTAAGATACCAAGACTTCCTTCTGATACTTCACATTTTAGACCATTTTTATTCACTTACTCCTCCACTTAATACTTCACTAAAACAATATTTTTCAAACAATATCAACATTTAACTCAGATGAATCACTAACACATCATTTATTCTTTACACCCTTCTCTAAGCACATCAGTAGAATGTAAGCAGAAGAATGTAAGCATTTCTTAATTTGAAATAATGCAGGCATTTTGAAATAAAAATTTCTGAATTTGAAATAATTTTACACTCAGCATTCTAAAGTTCTCTCTATTTTCCTTAGGAGATAGAACACTTTGACTTTATTCTTAAATTTTGAAATAAATTTAAGTTCTTAAGAGTCATGCACACAGTTGAAATGAACACATAGCCAATAACCTCATGCTATTTTGAAATTCTTCTGTGAAAGAACCTGGAGGTGTTGGTTTTTTGATGGATACCTCATGGTGTTTTGAAAGACTAAGTAAAGGTCTCTTATGAATCATTTTGGCTAAAAAGCTTCTTGGAAAAGCAGCGAACAATTTGTCCTGAAAGAGTTGCAGCTGAGTTAACTCTTCAAACATTTCTCATCAGGAAGATCATAGCAGGCTACAAAGTGTGCCTAAGTACATGCTCACAGAGCTTTCACAAAGCCAGGGCAGCTGCAGAGCAGTTCCTCTTACAGCTGAGGAGATAACTGCCAACAAAAGGTTGGAAAAGTGTCTTTGCATCCAACAGTGTTTGCCAAACCAGTTTCCCCTTCCTGTTCTTTCCATCTCCAAATGGCAGCAGCTTTTTAATGTCCAAAATATCTATCAGGATCAGAAGATAGTACCTGTCTCCCTGTGTTTACAGAGATGTACCTTTTTTCCAAGTAATTAAATTCCATGAAAAGTTTACTTTTTAAAACACAAATCCATCCACGACAGCAGCTCTGGCATAACATAAGTCACTCAATAAACAGTTTCCAAATAAAGTTCAAAGCACCAAGATCACCATACACAAAAATGTTTCTAATGGCTGACTATTATCAAGTAGCAAGGTCCCAGATAAGCTGTCAAAAGTCAAAGATTCTGTGATTTTATACCGATTTTTATGCTACCTGCCTTTAGAAAAAATATCAAAGAGAATGACAGAGCTTCCTACAGACTAATTTTAGAATGGAAACTAGACAGTGCTCCCAAAGGGAAAAAAAAAACCAGAATATTATCTCAAGGTATTTTCTGAACTTCAGTGGTGAAGTCAAACAGGTTAAGACAGCTGAAATAATAACTGTACCTGAACAGACCAGGACTTTTTGAAGAAATAATGCTACTTCCTTTCTGTAGGACTGGGAACCTTTCCCTTTCCCAGCAAAAGTTCAGAACCTGATTTTGCTGCTAAAACACAGCTGAAGATACTTATCTGGAAAAGCTGATGTGAAAGGAGAACAACAGGATCTCAAGGCAAGGGAGGCAGAAGTACCTACTTTGACATGAACCCCTTTCTTCCATCTCAAAACAATTAACACACAGGCTGCCATACACAACCAGGTCAATCCAGGCTGCCATAGACCAGCACCTAACAAACAGTTCTGTTTTTCCACTTTCCTTGTGGAGATGGACAGGAAAAAAATCATCTATTTCTGTGAAAAACAATTTTTTTTCTGACATATTAAAAATTCTGTGCTTACCTGCTTTCCTTTTGTATCTTGTGATTATAAAGTAGGAAACAATGTAGAGAACAGCAAACAGGAGAAAACAGATCTGGAAAAATAAAATTGCATTTATTAGGTTATGAAGAAATGCCTCGATTATAATAAGCAGTAAAACTAGTTTAAACAATTTAAAATGGAATTCAGATCAATATCAACATATTTTATGTAAATTTCAAGACTGTTATATCTTATTAACAGAAAGTTAAACCCATTAAAACAGCTTGATTAGAGCAACAGGTATTGTATCAATTACATGGTCACCAAGTTTTACTCTAAAATTAAGAGAAAAGACTTATTCACAGTCTGATTTTTGTTTGAGGGAAGGTGAGTGGAGTGGGATGGACTGATTTTTGAATTTTGAATCCACTTGATTTGTAAAAGTTATCAGGCTTTGTATCCCCTTCAAAAGTACCCTAAGGAGAGTTGTATTTTACATAATGGGTTCTTGAGGATCTATTTTGGGCTGTGCTGTCAGCACATGTGGAAAGAAACAAACATGTTTACTATGTGCATCCTGCCTTGAATCAAACAAATTCCAGGTGACAACACACACAGAAAACTCGTGCCTACAGTGGATGTCCAAGCATGAGCTCATCAAACATGAGGTTTCCTTCACAGTCAGGAGCCAAGGGCACAACTTCCCTTCTCCAAGGTTGGTGGTTTATTTAGGTCAGATGAACCTCCAGCCCACAACGCCTTGGACCAAGCTGTTTATAAGATTTAGCACTACATTAACAGTACAATAAGATAAGACCAAAATGCCTAAAAAATGCTGGAAATAATAACTGTAATAATAATAATAACTATAGGAAGGGAATAGAACAGCAGGAAAGTTTTAGCCCTCCAAGTCTTTACGGGTTTAAAAAAAAAAACCAAAAAACAAAAACAAACCCCACAGATTTTATTTGCTCCTGAATAAAGCATCAGTGGCTCAACACTGCTGCCTTAATCCTGGATGCCTATGCCTATTAAACACATGAGTCAGTCAGAAATGCAACAAGAAGCAAACATGCCATTCTGTTTTGGAAATGTACTCCACTGGACAATAGCTGACCTATTCCTTTAAGCTATCATTTGTAGATTTTTTGCCTTTAAGACTCACTGTCTTTAAACAAATCAAAAGCAGAAAGGCTACCCTAACAGAAAGGGAAAAGTGAAAGTGAAGATAGTGATCATAGCCCTAGATATAGATAAATCTGCATCTAAATAACAATACTGCATCCAAACCAGCAAATCACAGTGGAGAATGATGAAAGACAGACTTTGTAAGAAATACTGATAAATATAAAGTGAAAGGGTTTCTGGTGTAGTCAGACACTTCAGATTTTAAAAAACAAGTATAGCCAAGTATCTGAGTATGGCATTTGGGTGACTTCCAGGTCCCTCCCTGGGACAACAGGGCTGTAAGTCTGAAAGTGGCAACCCAGCTCATTCTCTGTGCAGGAAACACAGCAGCAACACCCAAAATACAGGCACTGAAAATGGGATTTCATAACTAGATCTCTGAACTCCAATCTTTAATCTGAATAGAGCTTACCACTCCAACTTTTTTAATGATGCCTCAAAGAAGAAATTGTTTTGATAAAGAATTCAGTTCTTTATATAAGTCATTCTAAAGAATGTTACTAAGATTAAATAAAAAAGAAGTTGGTTTATTTTTGAAACAGGAAGAAGAAAACAAGCTGAGAACAGCCTTGGTTTTTCAGAGTCCTCTGACACAGCTCGTCCTGTCAGTATTGGAAAATGCATTGCCAGTGCTGAAAGAGAATCCTTCTCTAAGCTTCAGTTCCTCTGAAAACCAGACCAAGGCTACAGCTAGAGACATCTAATTTTAGGCACCCACTTTTGAAAATCAGGTATCACATATACAGGGTAAGGGAAATCTTTAAAAATCTGACAGATGCAAATAACACGGTGTAACCTGTGTAAAAGAAAAATAGTTAAAAAATTAAGCTCATTTTTTGTTTAATTTTATTTCAAACAAGAATAAAAATTACTGTGGTCCTGTTTACACCTCCAAATAGAGCAGCTGACCTTTATTCTATCTGTGATAGCAAGGTTCCAATGAAAATGTGGGTCTGTACTTACAAGGCACCACTGAGATAACTGAGGTATTTTGAGGGCAGAGCAGACAAAAGCTGTCCAGCAACACAAACTGTCAAATGCTGCATTTCTGGTCTTAGATAACAGCTACTCTGTACCCAGCAATAAGGGTTAACTCTACAGCCTGGTGTAATTCTCCCTTTACTTCTGTCAGATTTGAGAACAACTTTTTAAATGTCTGATTCAGTTTACTATTGAAAATTCACAAAATTTTAAAATTGTTGGCAAAAAAATAAATTCTATTAAGTGAAAGCTTTATGATCTTAAAAAAGAGCTCAGATGAAAAGTCCTTCATACTGACCAAAACAAGTTAAACAGCAAACTCAGAAACATTACTGCAGTCTCAATTTCCAGTCAGTGAAACCTCTGATCCTGAACTGTTTCTAACCATGCATTCTGAACAGCTTTCTAAAGGAAGCAGCTCAAGTCAGCATCCCAACTATTTTTAGAGTAGAACTCAGTTAAGCTGGGGAAAAGGAATGTGTTGCCTATGATAGCTGAAGAATAGGCTCCACTGTCCTGTCAGCACTGCAACCCTGGGCTCCTATTCCTCATCCTGCTGTTTGTTTCAGGATATTTTTGTATTAGGAAAAGAAACCATCCAGCCTTGTTTGTATTTGCTGTAGTTTCAGTTCAAGTTTCTCAGTTATGTGTGGCTGGGCTTGTATGCAGCACTCCAGGTAAGATTTTACAGCTGCAGGTAACAGCACTGAGTCCTCCTTGCTGCACTGAAAATGCTTCTCCACACTCACATTGATACCTCAGGTTTTAGCTTTTTTTCTTTCTTTTTTCTGATTTTGTGCTGGTTTGCTGTGTGGGTCTGGGTTTCACATTAGGGGATGGTAAGGTGGGGTCTGGGTTTCATACTAGGGGATGGTAAGGTGGGGTCTGGGTTTCACATTAGGGGATGGTAAGGTGGGGTCTGGGTTTCACATTAGGGGATGGTAAGGTGGGGTCTGGGTTTCATACTAGGGGATGGTAAGGTGGGGTCTGGGTTTCATACTAGGGGATGGCAAGATTCAGGTCTGGGTTTCACATTAGGGGATGGTGAGCTCTCTTCACAGAGCAGGCAGACACAACAATTCCTTCTCCAGCTGGGGACCCAAGGACAGCCAATCTGGATCTCAGGCCCAGGAGTATAAACAATGTGGACTGAGGAGAGAAAAACAAGAAGGATGGGACTTCATGGGCTGGGGTTGTAACTGGACAATTTGTCCAATATGCTAATGGACCAAAACTTCTAAAAATGTGAGATTTTGTGACCAAGCCCTCTCTTGCTTCCAACTTGGAGCCATCCAGGCAGAGCCACAGCTGTGGCTCTGGTACTGCCAGGGTGTGGCCTTTGAAGGCTCTACAGTAAATATTCTCTTTATTCCCCTTAACTCTGTCTAGCCTCTGTTCCAGCTGCTTAAGGCATCAGCCTGAGAGCCACACCGGTACCTCAGCATTAACCTCCTGCCACTGGATCCAGCACTGTTCTCCCCAACTGCTTACAGCAGAGTAGCTCTCAAGTTTCAGCAGAAATTTGGTTTTAGGGTTCAAGTTCATCACCATGTCTTTTCTTTTTTTTTTTTTTTAAACCACACCTTAATGTCACACTGCATACAATCATCTCTCAATGCCATTTCTAACCACTCATTAAAAAGCACAGTTAATCATACTGAAACAGGGCACTAGTCACAAAAGAACATAATACACAAAACTACATTGATATCTTCAGTAAAAACAAAAATTTAAAAGAGCCTTTATTCTGTTAATTCCATCTTTCCTTCAGAAACTACTCTGTGTGTCAGTATTGGAGGCAACACTGGAATACAATGTTAAATCCAAATTATATTGCAAGTTGTTTCCAACCAAAAAGCAGTGATATGATGATGTTATGATGATGCCATCATAACAGCTCACAAAAGGATGCTGCAAATACAGCAAATCTAGGATGAGCTGTATTCTTCAGATCCCCAAGTTCTCTGCAAGTTTTTCACCAGAGCTCAAATGAAACTTTTCCAGGTTTTACTTGGGCAGACAGTCAAGACACTGTGCAGACAATGTACCCAACTGTGAAGAATAAGGATTGCTGATATTCCCCACTTCACAAGAAATAATACCTTTCTATCTTAAAGTTTATTTCCTTAAGTTCATTCCAAATTTGAGGGACAAAATAGTTGTGGACCTGTTGCCATAATTAGACAGGGAAGCTACTTTAAACACAACTAGAGTATATTCTGATCTTACAGGGGAAATGCACTGTCCATGTTCAACCAGGTGGATCAAAATATATAAGAAATTACAAGGAGCTCAAGACTTTTTCATGGTTATAGCCAAACAGTCATCCAAAGGAATTCTTTATAATTTGTGATGTCTTTGTGTGCATGTCCCCTCCACAGCACTCAGTAATTGCAAACAAGACACATGGACTCTGTGCCACATCCCAGAGCTCCTTTTTAACAGATGGCACACTAAGGAATCTTCAAACATCAAGCAAATAATTCATTTATATCTCTTCCCACAAACTAAACACAACTTCTGGTAGGACAAGCAAAAAGCAACCTGTCTTCCCCTGAAGCCCTTAATCTTTATTCAGGAAAGGAAGTGCCTTCTGCTCCTGCTTAGATGACACACCTGGAGAATCTGCCTCTGGAGCCTGCACTACATTCTTGTGTCTCTTGTGTAGGGACACAAGACTCTTCCACACTGTCAGACCCTTGGATCTCTCATCCAGAGGCATCCAAGTATGATCCACACCACACTCTTGGATCTGTGCCACACATCTCCCAGCTCCTGTGAGAATTACCTGCACACCCTGTGCCTCTAAGGGGCCAGCACTGAAGGTTACACAAGCAGTAACAGCCTGAACCAGGTCAAATCACGTTGTAGCTATCCCAGTGGCAATTACTGAAGATCAGCTGACACTCATTTGTCTGTGTGGAAGATCTTTAAAACTCTGGC